AACAGGAACCTTCTTGCAGTGAAGCTATGCTATCAATTTTAAAATAAATTCACTGGAATCTGTACGTTTTTAATTGACACTGCAATACATTTATTAAACTATTTGTAGAATCAAAATGCTGTTTTATGTGTATGTGAAAACAATGAGAAAGCCACAGTTTAAAATACCTGGCACACTTCTTCATTCAAATCACTCTCAGTCACTTCGCACTTCAATTCATTCGTTAACACATATTTCAAACATTTTCATCATATTCCTGCTGACTTTTTTAGGGTGTTGCAGAACTTCTGCCTTTTAAAGTTTACTGTGGCATGATGAATGAGGAGCACGTCTGCAGCAATAATATTTGTAAAGGAGAAAAGGAAACACAAAGATATGGATAGAGAGGGAGGCTTTCTGCATATTTCAACAAACAAAAAAAACTTGCTGGTGTTAAAACAGCCATCAACACAATGATACGAAGGAAAAGCAAAGCATTTGCAGTAAGCCCACGTTTGAGCGTGTACTGATGAAAACTGATGTCAAAGCACCACAGCAAACCATGAAACATCCCTAATTACAGGGCTTTTGACGTGTAGCCACTTTGCATTTAAATGGAACAGCTATAGTAAACGGGGCATTTTTAGAGAACAACTTCACACCCAACTGGAGTGTGCAACAGGGATGAGCTAAAAGCAAGCATATTGCTTTAAGTCAATGCTATAGGGAGGAGTACAGCACGTTATATGCGGTGCAGAAAGATCCTCAAACCTTGTGGTCACACAAACATAAAAGATTATGTATATTTTTAGAACAATCACATGCACGCATACACCCTGATGGCACTTTATTTGACCTTTTGTGCTCTTTTTCTTAAACTCAGCAAGTGGCAGAGAGGGAGAAGATAGAGAGAGACCTTTAATTTGAGGACATGAGAGGAAACAAGGAAGATGAGAGAAGACCTTTATGTGTATGTAATTGGTCTATAGAGGAACTGCCAGCATGCGCACCACAGGTGGCCGCCAGCCCGGTTTAAATAGCCATCCTCATTAAGTCCTCTGAGACATGCCGTGCAAACAGAAAGAGAGGGTCATGAGTGGCATCTGGGACCAAAAGTACGATGTTTCTTTAATTCATCATTCCCATTTACTGCATAGTGCAAGTTTACACACGGAGGTACTGTATACATGTTCAAAGACAGTGATGAAAACTCTGATTAGCCAACCTCCAGTCAGTCAACGATTCGCTCTCAGTGTTTAATCACAGACTTCATTTCTAATATGGCTGACTGAACTAGAAAAATATTCAGCTGATTTAAAGCAATAAAACTGCCAGTCATAATATCACTTCCTTTTTTTTCTTTAGTTACAAAAGTAAGTTGACTGACTGGACATTAGACTTTTTCTACAATTAAAAGCAGAGAGACCAGGCATTGAAAGGTTTCTGACAGTTCTTCTCTTTAGTATGACAAACCTTCTAAAGCTGACAAACAGCTGCTGACATTATGGTCAAATGGCAGCAGCCTCCTGTTGTTTGTTTCAATGTCCAACCCCCATAGCAATTTGGAAATGAACATCAACACAAACAGCTATGTGGAAAACAAGATTGTGGCCTGCACTGCGATGCTGCACAGCGATGTCCTGTATCTCACGTATGACTGCGACACCAGCGCCAATTATACTTTTTCAATTCAATTCAAGGGTGCAGCCGTCTACTGCAACTGGTTGGGGAATAAAAAACACCGTGGAAGACAGCCGGAAGTTAGAGCTAGCTTCTTCAATAGTGTTATAACACAATAATGTCAGCTCAGTTACTTGTTTCTCCTTTTCTGCTTCTTGTTTTTTGTCCAGATATAGAGTGAGAGTGGTAGATAAGTGGCACTGAGAGAACAATATCACATTGTGCTGAGCTCTGTGCTGAGAATGTCCAGCAAGTTGTCTTTTTAAGTTACATTACAATCCACTCACACGTGGAGCTGTTGAATTATTATTATTATTGGTTTGAGAGTTTGAGAGTGTGTTTAGGCCCAACACTCATTCTCCTTTTGGCTCCATCAATTCCTGTGGGAGCACGTCTGTTTTTCTTTTTCTGTACAAAAATAATAAGATGCTTACTTTATCTGTCTCTAATTTATTGATGAGCACTTGGAACTCAGTGGATCAACATCAACACTATGCACTATTGCCACTTCAAGCTTTTAAAATATTCATTTTAGTATAAAAGGAATAATTAGAGAGTTTATAATACAATGTGCTGCATTTTTCTCTAAATAGAGTGAATTTAACTCACAACAGAAAGGTTTCATATGCATTTAAAGTCAGGCTACACTTTTTAAAATAATGCAGTGTGTTGCTGTAAAAGTTGGCTTTACGCACTTTTTTCTGCAAGACATTAATCTTCCTCTCCTTGACGTCCAGCATGTCCTTCATGTCTCTGATTTCTCCCGTTAGTGTGCTCTTTTCATCAGTCAAGTCCTGCAACTGTTTGGTCTTCTTGGTCAGGAACTGCTCCTTCTCCTCCAGACGCACTCGCAGAGCATCTACCTACAATTAACCAAGACAAGAAGTTAAGTGCAGATAGGCAGGTATAACAAAACTGTAAAGGCAGATCAATAGGGACACCGAAAGCAGCATCTGCACAACACAAACACTAACAGACAAGTAGCAGGAGAGAGAAAAGTGGACGCAATCTTCAGACAGGGTGATAGAAACCAGTATGCACCATATCCAGAATTCATACACAGTCAGACAGACAGGCAACCATACAGGTTGAAAGTAATCTGTAAAAAATAGTTTTAAGGCAGACCGTTTGACGATGAGCGAGAGCTGAGTGACTGACAGGCGAATGTAGAGAAAAGAGGAAGCAAAAGAAGATTAAGAAATGTTACACCGTGATTTTTCCCAGTTCTCGGTCAGGTGGCCCACATGTTATTATTCAGCGCTAGAAATGACATTTCTCACATTTACTTGTTGACGTTTGGAAGTAGTAAAAGTTCAACTCTGACCTAATGTCCATGATTTGAACCACTGAAGCAAAGTGTGTGTGAAAGAGAAAGAGCCAGGAGCCTGTCCTGTCGTTTGTTATTGAGAGTGTTGTGTGATTGGGCCGGTGCTGCCATAGATCAGACCGCTCACACGCTTCACACTCACACATAGAAGTTCGACGTGTCTGGCTAAGTGTAGTGAGATGAGAGATAGCTGTGCACGTTCCAGCACTACTTATTGGACTTGACATACGCAACCGACTCCTTGTTTGTTCTTCTGCAATTTCACTTTATTCCCATGTATAATTTCAGGGGTGTTTCATTTGACTTCAAGAGGACACACACACACATAGATGAAGGGAAGTAACATGAGGCTTGTTAACAGTCATTACTTGGACACAACGTGAACAGTGTGAAAATAGTTAAAGCAAAAACTCTTTTGCTTTCAAACTTATCTCCCAGGTATTTCACAAGGCACTCACTGTGATTCATAAAGGGAGGACTGAGGGTTTCTGATTAGAACTAGAACGACTGCTATTTTGTAATTGTGCAAATGCCGAGAGAAATTTAAAACCACAAGAATTCAAGACAAAACAAATAATATGAGAGCAATCAGAAGAAAAACGTCAATAGCAAAAAAGCAGATATACTGAAGGCACAATTGAAAAGTACAGCTGTGTTGGAGCACAGTTCCTCCCTGCAGATATGTTTATGTACCTGCATGTGTAAAATGAGAGTGCGCCATGCACTCCAGAGACACACAGAGGGGGCCTGTCACTGTGCCATTAGAAGCAGGCCAGGACCCCCAGGTGTAAGATGGCGAAGTATTTATCTCATATTGCTCCTCTGGCAGACAACCAAAGTCTAATACTGAGAACGGCTCTGTCCTCCCAAATTCACATTTACACACAAACGCGCGCACAATAGTGGTGTTATCACCAATCCTTTGCACGTACAGTATACATGCACATACTATGTGTGTGTGTGCATGTTTGCCACTGCATTTATGTGCATGTGTGAGAGAGCGAGAGACCTCCTCCCCTCCATCTCCACCTGGCAAGGAGCAATTTAGCAAGAATGTAGCAAAGGGGCCTAACAGGAAATCCCTGCTGTCTCACCTGCACTGGCCCACTAAGCTGTGATAGTGCTACACAGACTAATACCCTCTTAAAGCACTCAGCGCTGCGAGACACAGTGCATGGAAAAACAGGGAGAGAGTTGGATGATGAGATGCGGAGGGACAAATGAAAGGACAGATAATAGTAAGGGTGAAAGCAAGGGACGTAATAAATGAATGAAGGTGGACACAGCATTTGGACTGAGCATGTTAACACCACCGGCATACTGCTGTTTCACTGGCTACCACTCCAACAGCAGGAAATACTGTATGGCTTTATCAGCTGGCACACATGCTGAGATGATAGACGGCTAACTGCACACAGTGATTAACCTCTCTCTTCTCCCTCAATTTCCGCTCCAATTTTCCTTTTCTTCTGCTGCCCTTCTTCCTTGTGTCATCTTTCAAAAACACCTCTCGCTCTCTCTCGCTCTCTTCCCCTGTGGCTACCACCTCTCTTTCAACACTCCATCCCTCCAACCATGCTGCACACTCTCCAGGAGATTTCCTATTGCCATTTAAAGGCAACGGTCCTGCAGCGAGACAGAGTGATGTGTCAGTGTGAGAAATCCCTGAAGTCTTCAAATCAGGTTGTCTTTGGTACAGACCCACATTTCCCCAAGCATAACATTGCAGGTTTGCGCCTTTCAGTGCAGATTTGAGGGAGATGATATGCAACACAGAACTCCTGCTGTCTCCAAGACAACCACGGTATTGATTCTACCTACACGAGCGGACACCAGGGACTATATCCTGTTTTGTAATCGTGACGTTTCTTTAGCAGAAAAGGAGAAAGGTCAGGGAGAGGAGTAGAAAAGCCGCTGCTGTCCAGCCTGGCTTCGTTCAAATCTAAAGGGAACACTGGAGACTGCCCTGAGAAGTTCTGCTGAGTTGATGAATTAAAAACACATCTATATCACCCCACCTTCCTCCAAAAAAACCCACTTAAACTTTCCAGTCCCTCACTCAGCACCCCATAATTTAAAAAAAATATCTTGATATGTTTTCAACATTCTGTGGTTGCAAAACTATTAATTCTTGGCAAACCCCGGATTTTGTTTAAATTAATTCATTCCCAAATTTGTAACTACTCTAACGTGTGCACACATATGTATATTCAACAAATCTCAAGGCACAAAACTGCATCTGTAATTAAATATGCAAACAGCACGCACAAACGCATAAACACACTCTGATTAAATTCCTCCTTCTTGCTTGCAATGACAGCCAAATGTAGGTTCTGGAAATCGGTTAGCGGAGTAAAACAGAGGCTTAAAGAAAACAGTTTCACTGTTTGTCCTCACCTCCCTTTTCCCTGCCTCACATTTCATCATAAAAGTTTTTTTGGCAGGCAAATCTGCAAAGGTATTGGGCCCATCGTCGGCTCTGGGCCGCAATAAACAACACAGGGACTATATGAGCAGACCACAGTCAAAACAGCAGAACCAGAGAGAGTGAAAACCTGTAAGACCACAGCCGAGGTCTGGGGACACACCGACACTTGCGCAGTAACGTTTGCACTCTCACTCACACACTTGGGAGTCCAATATTGCAAATAGAGTCTTAGGTTGATCAGAAAAACATCCGTCATGTTTTCCATTGTCCCAATCTCAGTCTTTAAAAATCTATGACCTTTACAGAAGCTCATATCCAAACCATCAGCTATATTCATTTGTGTGTGTGTGTGTGTGCGTCTTAAAACAAGTTTGAATGTCACTTGAACTGAAAACACACCATTAAAGCTCTTAAATCCCAAGGAAAGGGTCTGATGAAATGTATCTAATGCCTGAACTAAGATCTTCTTGGCCTGCTGTGGTGCACCACACACAGCTGTGTCAGCTATTCACTTCTCTGGCTGCATCTCTAGCCTTTATAAATACACCACACGGCACCCATTAGATTTAATTTATTCAAAGGCCTGTGCAGTGAAACTCATTATCTCAATTTATGGCCTAATTCAGGTTTGTCAAGCCACTGATGAGCCCAAGTCTGAATTTCATCACTAAAATATTGAAGACAATGCTAGACCACCAAAGTCTCGCATGCTACCTATCATCTCTTTGGTGAGATGTACTTTACGCATCGAGACAAACCAACACATATGATGCAGAAGGAATGAGAATGAATGCAGACAGCTGGATTTAAGCAGCCTGTCGGTGTTTTCATGCTGACTAATATCTGCATTATTAAAGACTGCTGAGAGGTGAACAAAAAACCCACGAGGATATATAGAGAACAGTAACTCACACCGCTGGTATATAAGCACCAGGTTATAGTCTTTTATTTATACAGAGCGGCATCAAGTGATCCATAGTTTCATGTTGATGTAACTGAAGCCTTCAATAGATGTCGGGAGGTTACAAATACTGTAAGAGTAGCCGCCTGAAGACCAAAGGATGTTTTTTGTTTTAATTGTGCATGTCAGTGTGTGAGCGTGTGAATAGGGGGGCGTTGTCAGATGGAAGTATGAAGAACTTTACACAGAAAATGTAAACAAGCCTGGACTTCTAGACCCTACACTGTTTATTTACACACAGAAGGCACTTAAAGACCATTTTTATAGTGTTTGGTACTTTTTCCCATGTCCATGCAGCTCAAACCGAGGACCACCGGAGTTCGTAGGACTCCTTTTTGGGGTATTTCCTTCTATAGAGGAGGAACTGCCTCAGCACAAGAGGAACTTTGCATGATGTGATATATTGTGACTGGTCCTGACCAGCGTTATTGTAGTTTTACATCGTTATTTCATTTTAATTATGAAATTACATTTTGTTTTACTAGTGTGTATTCGCTCATTTCAGTTTCGCATATAAGACAAATTTATAGAGAACACAAAAACAACACTTTTGACTCACATCCTGTCTCAATAAATATATGCTGCAGTGCTTCCCTGTGCTTGTTTTGACAACTGATTTGACTAAATGATCAAAGACTAAAATGTAAGATATCTCCCACCCATCCGTCCATCAATACATCCATTTATATATTTTATAACACTTTTTCAGTTCACAGTCATGTGGAGCCTGTCCCAGCTGTCATAGAGCAGGGTAACACCCACCAGGTCAATATTTCACATATACTTTTTATTTTTTATTCTCAAGTACATAATATTGCTTCTGTTAGTTTCTTTAGGGTAACCAAAACATTTTTTACAACTAGTTTAAATTTTATTTTGGTTTTAGTTAACTGCAATAACTTTGTTTTGTACTTAAGTGTGGACTGAATATTTGATAAATGGTGTTACAAGTAGGGATCCTCCTTTTTCCAATTCCAACCCCTCGGCTGTGGTTCATCTGCCAATAACAAATACCCGTTTTAAATGAATAATCTGTATCCCTCACTGGCAGGAAGAGACTTGTTTTTTGTGTGTCTGGAAACTTCTGAATGAACAGAGTCAAACATGATTTTAAGAAACTAACAGAACCCAGTATGAGCTGACTTGC